TCCCCATCTCAGCGGTGTCTCTCCCTGTTATGATTACACGTTCTACCTCCATGTGTCAAGGCTTCAAGGACTAAGCTGTCATTTTCTCTGGGCTCGAGCCAAGCCCCCCAATAAATATATACTTGTAGAATAAAATTGTCCAAGAGGCACAGGGGACCAAATGTAGGCCTCAAACTATTTGGGGAGGCAGGCATAGGGGATGAGAGAGAGAGAGCAGCTGTGGGAACCCTAGGGTGCTGGCTCCAGAATCTGACAGGGGGTGCAAGGGGCACTTCTATATCCCCCAGGTAGCTGTCTGGTGGGCTGATGGCATGTACAGGCCCATCGGGGCTGTGATGTCACTCCCTGTGTGGGCAGACTGTAAGGCCTTTATGATAGGCCGCAATCCCCTGGGTGAGGGTGGGGGGGGCCCGATGGTCCGGGTAGGGTGGCCCAATGGTCTGGGTGGGGTTCCCTACGGAGCTCAAGCACCTCCTCCCACCACAAACAGCACTTACTTGGCCTCCCGGATGGGCGCGCACGCCCGACGTCCGACGAGGCCTTACCAGGCCGTACCAGGCAGTGATCGTCCGCTGCCGCGGAGGGGGGCCAAAATCACCTGGCTCCCTCCTACTAAGCACCAGCAGGGATGGCAGGACCTCCGGGTGGCTATCTCGGTCCGCTGCCGCCAGGATGGCAGCGGATTAGGAGTGCAGCCGACGGAGCTCCAGATTACGCGGCCACTCCGGTCGCCATCTTGGACACGCCCCCATTTATTTTTTACTAATGATTTGCTAAATTACATTGTGGAGCAGTTTAACCTGTATGCCAGCCAATATATAGCCAGCAATCCCAATTCATCATATGCCCGCCCATTTGTGTGGAAACCCCTCACCGTGGAGAAATTTACATTTTTTCTTGGGCTTACTCTGAACATGGGACTGACAAAAAAAAATTAATTCCTTGCCTACTGGTCTACCCAACCTATACATCATATTCCAGTCTATTCATCTTGTATGCCCAGAACACGCTATGAGATGATAATGAGGTTTTTGCATTTCAATAATAATACCCAGTGCCCTCCTCTAAATCATCCTGGTTATGATAAGCTATTCAAAATTCGGCCACTAATCAACTTTTTTTGCTGTACCTTCAAGGAAATGTTTACCCATGACAAAAATATTTGTGTGGATGAATCCGTAGTCCACTTTACTGGAAGGCTTGGCATCAAACAGTACATCTCCAGTAAACAGGCCAAATATGGAGTAAAATTCTACAAGGCATGTGACAGGGCCATGGGATATACCTACAACTTCAAGATCTATGATGGAAAGGACAGCCAGCCAGACCCCCCTGGATGTGCTACCTATATGGGGACAAGTGGCAAAATTGTTTGGCAGCTTAAAGAACCGCTGTTCGAGAAGGGTTACCATTTGTATGTAGATAATTTCTACACAAGTCTCCCATTATTCCGCAATCTCTATTTGAAGAAAACTGTGGCCTGTGGGACAGCACGGGCCAACCGCAAGGGCTTCCTACAATGACTGGTCACTACAAAATTAAAACAGCCAGTTTGCGGAATGAAGAGATCCTAGCCCTAAAGTGGAAAGATAAAAGAGATGTCTATATCCTTTCCTCAATTCACGATGACACCTTGGTGGAACTTCAAACAAGACAAGGTCCCAACGTTCAGAAACCAAAGATGCATACATGACTATAACCAGTTCATGGGGGGGGGGGGGTGGATATGAATGACCAGATGTTACAGCCATACTTAGCCATCAGGAGATCAATCTATTGATGTAAAAAGGTTGCCATCTACTTGTTTCAGTTAGCCCCGTACAATTCTTATATCATCTTTTGTAAGTGCACACAAAGATCCCTAACCTACCTGAAGTATCAAGAGGATATCGTTACAGCCCTTCTCTATCCACCTGGCCATACCCCTGAACAAATTCACTTTGATTCATTGACCAAACTCAATAAGAGGCATTTCCCCGATATCCTCCCTCTTGCCCAAACAGGCCGCAAACCCCTCAAGAAATGTTGTTTATGTTCCAGTAACCAAATTCACCGTGACACCCGAAACTGCTGTCCCCAATGTCCTTCCCAGCCAGGACTCTGTATTGGAGAGCTTCCATATCTATCACACAACAATACACTATTAGTCAAGATATTTTCCATTGTCCACTATCACCTATTTCTCTGTATGACCTGGACTGTTTATCAACAATGCCTCTGCTTGCCAACTGAACTGACCTTGGACTCTTTATTGATGATGCCTCTGCCTGCCGCTTGAACTATCAACCATGTTTCTGCCTTCCACGTGAATTTGCCTTGGCCTGTTAATCAACCGTGCTTTTTGCCTGCCTCCTGAACTGATCTTATGCCCTGCCACTGTATTAGTTGGATTCGAGATAACACGAATGTGAGGGGCTCCAGAATAGATTTTCCGAGTGGAGAAAACAAAGTTTTTGGTTTTCTCCAGGTTTTGTAAATCCCGCAAAAAGGTCTGTTAGTCCAGAGGTTTCGAAGAGGTTGGGTGGCATGAAACCTCTACCCCTCTGCTCAGGTCTTACCTGACCAAGGCCCTAACCCTAATATTTCTGCCTTCTGCCAACTTACTGCCATCATGTCTCTGCCTGCCGCATGAACTGACCACACCTCTGCCTGCTACCTGTACTATGGACCGTGTTTTGTACCTACTACCAGGACTGATATTTTGACTGTACTGACCATGTCTCTGCCTGGACAACTGATTTGCCTGTTGCTGACCACATGTCTTCCTGGACCAATGCTTTGGCTGTGCTGGCAATATCTCTGCCTGCTGCCTGTAGTGACTATGGACAGTATTCCTTCCTGCTGCCTGTAGTGACTATGGACAGTATTCATTCCTGCTGCCTGGGTGGTTCCTTTCACTGACCACTTCCCTGTTTGCTGCCTGGACCAATGCTCTCCTCTGTGGACAATTGCACTACTAATCCACAGGTCATTTTTTTGTTTACCCTTTGCTCAGCAAAATGTATTTTTGAGATGTAATTCTTGGTATGTGTATGCTATGAGTCTGAAGGTGCTACTTGAATGTTGGGCCTCTGGATGTGGCCAGGCTCTGGAAGAGTCTTACACATGTGGTATCCCCGTACTCAGGATGAGCAGCTGAATGTATTTTGGGGTGTAATTTTTGGTATGTACATGCTATGTGTTAGAAATATCTTATGAATGGACAATTGTGTGTAAAAAAAAAAAAATTTTTTTATTTTCTTTCCACATTTTCCGAAAACTTGTGGAAAATAATGACATGTTCAAAATATTCATTATGCTTCATAAAATATACATTGGGGTGTTTGCTTTCCAAAATGGGGTCATTTGGTAATTCCATTGTCCTGTGCTCCACGGTCTTGAAAAATGTGATAGGTAGTCAGGAAATGAGATGTCATTTATGCCTCCAGAATGCCTGTGGGTCCTACTTGGATGTTGAGCCTCTGTATGTGGCCAGGTTGTGGACAAGTCTTACACATGTGGTATCCCCGTACTCAGGAGGAGCAGTAGAATGTGTTTTGGGGTGAAGCTGCAAGTATGCATATGCCGTGTGAGCGGAATAACCTGTTAATATAACAATTGTGTAAAAAAAAACAAATGTTTTTTAATTTCTTCATTTTCCAAATAATTGTGGAAAAAACTCTCCATGCATCTTACTAAATACCTTGGAATGTCTACTTTCCAAAAAGGGGTCATTTGGGGGTATTTGTACTGTCCTGGCTTGTTAGTGTCTCAAGACAAAAGTACATCAGGTGTGATCAGTTATCAGTGATTGGTTCCATAACTTGTAGACTCTATAACTTCCACAGACCAAATAATACACACCATTGGGGTTATTTTTACCAAAGTAATGTAGAAGTATATATACATTTTGACCCAAATTTATGAAGAAAAATTACTTATTTGCAAAATTGTATAACAGAAACAGAAAAATGCTTTTTTTTTTTTTTAATTTTCAGTATTTTTTAATTTATAGAGCAAAAAAAAACCCAGTGCTAATTAAATACCACCAAAAGGAAGCTTTATTTGTGTGAAAAAAGGAACAAAAATGTCATTTGGGTGCAGCGTTGCATGACTGAGTAATTATCAATGAAAGTGTGATAGCGCTGAAAGCTGAAAATTGGTCTGGGCAGGAAGGGGGTGACAGTACCCGGTACTGAGGGGGTTAATATAGACCGACCCCTAATAGTGATCCCAGGATTGCTGGCAACCCGCGGCATTGCGAGATTTGTAGTTATTATTATACAGGATTTATGGCGCCAACAATTTGTTCAGCGCTTTATAATATAACGGGAGACCATACAGCAACAATACAGTTCAATACAAGAGGGTTAGGAGGGCCCGGATCCTGGGAGCTTACAATCTAGGAGGGAGGGGCTAGTGGTACAAAAGGTAGTAACTGTGGGGGATGGAGTGGTTGGAAGAGTAGAAGATTCCATTATTTGCTGAAGGCAGGATAGGCTTCCCTGAAGAGATAGGTTTTCAGGGATCGCCTAAAAGTGGGCAGAGTAGGCGATAGTTGGATAGATTGGGGTAGAGAGTTCCAGAGGATGGGGGAGGCTCTGGAGAAGTCCTGGAGATGAGCATGGAAGGAGTAGATAAGGGAGCCAGAGAGCAGGAGGTTGTGGGAGGAGCGGATTGTACGGTTTGGGTGATATTTGGGGACAAGATTGATGATGTCATTTGGGGCAGAATAATACATGGTTTTATATGTGGTTTTTAATGTTTAAAATTGTATTCATTGGGCAATGGAAAGCCAGTGGAGGGATTGGCAGAGAGGGGTGGAAGGCACTGAGTGGAGGCCAGTGGAGGGAATGGCAGAGGTGGGTGAAGACCAGTGGAGAGATTGGCAGAGATGGATGGAGGCCAGTGGAGGTATTGCCAAAGATGGGTGGAGGCCAGGGGAGGGATTGGCAGAGAGGGGTGGAGGCCAGTGGAGGGATTGGCAGAGAGGGGTGGAGGACACTGAGTGGAGGCCAGTGGAGGGATTGGCAGAGATGGGTGGAGGCCAGTGGAGGGATTGCCAGAGATGGGTGGAGGCCAGGGGAGGGATTGGCAGAGAGGGGTAGAGGCCAGTGGAGGGATTGGCAGAGAGGGGTGGAGGACACTGAGTGGAGGCCAGTGGAGGGATTGGCAGAGATGGGTGGAGGCCAGTGGAGGGATTGGCAGAGATGGCTGGAAGCCAGTGGAGGGATTGGCAGAGAGGGGTGGAGGCCAGTGGAGGGATTGGCAGAGAGGGGTGGAGGCCAGTGGAGGGATTGGCAGAGATGGGTTGAGGGACTGGCAGAGAGGGGGTGTAAGCCAGTGGAGGGATTGGCAGAGAGGGGTGGAGGCCAGTGTAGGGATTGGCAGAGAGGGATGACAGACATGGAGCGGTTAGTAAGGTGGATGAGTCTGGCAGCAGCATTCATGATAGACTGGAGGGGGGATAGCCTGCGATTCGGTAGGCCAATGAGGAGGGAGTTACAATAGTCAAGGTGAGATATAACAAGGGAGGGAATAAGTTGCTTAGTGGTTTCCAAGGTTAGGAACGGGCGTATCTTGGAGATGTTGCGGAGGTGAAGTCTACAAGATTTGGACAGTGATTGGATTTGGGGCTGAAAGGACAGATGGGAATCTAGGGTTACACCTAGTACCTGGCATGAGGGGAGGGACTGATGGTGGTGTTATTGATCTTCATGGAGAAGTCAGGGGAGGGGGCACGGGCTGGTTATGGATTTAGTGTAATGTACAATCATTTCTCTTGTTTGCTGTTGTCTAATGATTATTGTTTTGTATCTTTCATTATATAGTGGTATCTCTCAGGATATCACACAGTTGGGATCTTTTCAAGGTCATCAGAGAGTGACTATGAATGGCTTATCAACCGACTAAAATGGGAGCATATCAATAAAATCTTCCATATCAAAATGATAACGCGTCCTTCCTCACTACATCTCCAACAATGGATGGCAGCAGTTCAGGGAGGCCGTCTCTCGGTGCACGTCCGGTATTTTGTATCACACCAAGAATAGCGGACGGATCAACATTGTGGACGTCACCGACTCTGTATATAATGAGGAGCTGAGATATCTGTGTGATCACCTAGGTAAGTGGTCATCATGTATGTGGCTGATTCATAACACAGACGGCTACATGGGCTGATGTTCCATCATGTATGATTCGGGTAGTAGGGTTCATCACTGCCCATCCCCCACACACAATCATGGCCAAAAATCTTGTCCCCCCCGCATTTGTCAGATAATGCCCCACTTCACCCAGAAAATTGCTGCAATGACAAATGTTCCGGCATTCTGGTGTCATTTCTTGTGTTTTGTATTGTATGACACCAAAAAGTGGAGAAACAACAAGCCAAATCTGACACCTTCCACGCAAAACTACAAAAATGGACCCCAAACATCCTACTAACTACTAACACCTCCTACTACCCCAACTACTACTACACTACCCCCTACTACACCAACCCAACTACTACACCTCCTACTACCCCCTACCCACTACCACTACTACACCTCCTACTACACCCTCCTACTACCCCAACTACTACACCCTCCTACTACACCTCCTAACTGCCCCAACTACTACACCTCCTACTACTTCAACTACTACTATTCTACTACACATCCTACAACCTCCTACTAGTACCTCCTACCACCCCCTAACTACTACACCCTCCTACTACACCTCCTACAACCCCAACTAGTACACCTCCTACTACCCCAACTACTATACCTCCTACTACACCTCCTACAACCCCAACCTAGTACACCCCTCCTACTACCCCAACTACTACACCTCCTACTACACCTCCTACAACTCCAACTACTACACCTCCTACTACTCACCAACTACTACTATTTCTACTACACCTCCTACTACACCTCCTGCTACACCTCCTACTACACCTCCTACCACCAACTACTACACCTGCTACTACACCTCCTACTACACACCTACTACTACCCCAACTACTACTATTCCTACTACACCTCCTGCTACCCCCAACTACTAACCCTCCTACTACTCCAACTACTACCCCCAACTACTACCCACCTACTACCCCCCCACCTCCTACTACACCTCCTGCTTCACCTCCTACTACACCTCCTACCACCCAACTACTACACCTGCTACTACACCTCCTACTACACCTCCTACTACCCCAACTACTACTATTCCTACTACACCTCCTACTACTACTCCAACTACTACTATTCCTACTACCCTAATACTATTATTCCCACTACACCTCCTACTACCCCCAACTATTACTATTCCTACTACAGCTCCTACTACCCCAATACTACTATTCCTACTATACCTCCTACTACCTCAACTACTACACCTCCTACTACACCTCTTACTAACCCCAACTATTACTATTCCTACTACACCTCCTACTACCCCAACTACTACTATTCCTACTACACCTTCCACTACCCCCAACTACTACCATTCCTACTACACCTCCTACTACCCCAACTACTACTATTCCTACACACCTCCCACTACCCCAACTACTACTATTCCTACTATACCTCCTACTACACTCCAACTACTACTATTCCTACTACACCTCCTACTTCCCCAACTACTACTATTCCTACTACACATCCTACTATCTCTGCTGCCGCACTCATCCATGTAAATATTCTTCCATGGATGTATGTATTGGATGTAACGTGATGTCTTTATACACAGAGAAGAAGAAGGTGATTGTGGTTGTTGATGATCTGGAGGACGCCAGTAGTAAGGAGAAGGACTGGATCCTGGAGGCACAGCCCAGTATTGAACGTTTGGCCAAGGATCTCTTTCTATTTAAAGAAGTTGAAAAAAACAAAACAGAACAAATCCTATTGTAAAGTAACACAGAGGATATAACACGCAGCGCGCACATACACTGTTGTTGGAAATGTATTTGTCCATTCATTAGGAAAGATGGAATATTACCTCAATACTGTACTATTTAGTGATGGTCTGAACACCCCCCTGTTTAGTCTGCGGCTGAACATCTGAACCTACAAAATGTTCGACTGCAAACTTTGAACATGAACCAACACACCCGAGTGGTATCTTCCTGCATCTGAGTATGTGGTGAGATCCCGCTCAGCTCCTACAATCCGGCATGAGTTCTATGATGAAGTCTATGATTTTAGTAGTGAGACATTCATTCATGTTCCAGCGGTCGGTGGGGTTCCCCGCTGTCAGCTGAATGTAAAATGAATTGTTGGCATTGTTCAACAATAAAAAAAAAAAAAAAAAAAGCATGGGGGTCCCCCCCTCCCAGTCCATACCAAGCCCTTCTGGCCGTGGTATGGATTTTGGGAGGAACCCCCATGCCAATTTTTTTTCTAAATAGTATGGGGTCCCCCCCAAAAATCCATACCAGACTACGAACATGCAGAGCCCAGCAGGTCAGGAAAGGGGGGGGGGTGAGTGAGCACTCCCGCACCTGAACTATACCAGGCCACATGCCCTCAACATGGGGGGGTGCTTTAGAGGGCAGGGGTGGCTCTCCCCTTCAAAGCACCTTATCCCCATGTTTAATGGGGATAAGGGTCTCTTCTGGCCAGGGTTGCGGGGGTCTGTGGGCGGGGGCTTATCGGAATCTGGAAGGTACCTGGTAAGTACAAAATGACAGGAGACGATACTTTGACAAGTCCTTTAATTAAAAAACTAAAAAATAAAAATGTCCCCCCGAAGTAGATCCAACATCAAATCATGATGCCCTGCGGCACCCGCTAACCCGCGGGTGGGCGGGGATAGAGCGGGAATAATCCCCACCCCCCACCCAACCGCAACACAGGCTCCCGGCCTCCTCTGACTGACTAGCTGCACCCCTGATGACAGTTCTTACTATACATTCACACGGGTGGCAGGGGTCATCCAGCGGCACAAGCATAAAGAAACAGGAGCATTGCTTCTGACCGAATCACAGTGCACCAGTACAGTGGGCTCAGTGCATTCTGTGGTGTGACGCGCTGGTGAACAGTACGCCACCAAAATAACGCGCCCATGTTCTTAGTTCGTGTTCTACGACTCACAACATGCCAGCCCATTACCCTATACTGAATGTCTTCCACTGAGAGCTTCCAGGGACACACACGTTCCAAGTGTATATATATATCCTCAGTAGCAACAAAAAATATATCTAGGATATAATCCACTTTTATGCTGGCCCCAAATGCCTTTTACAAACCCGGATATTATGCTTGTACACCATAGTCAGTGACATCATCACTGTGCTCTGTATAGAAGCTTTATGCAGCAAAGCAGGAGTTGTGGAGAGGCGCCAAGCAGGCTGTCCCCCTCTGAAGAGAATTGTACAGGAGGGCGGAGAGACCAGGAAGACCAGTCCCCTGGCGCAAGGAGATGGATGCAGGCAGTGAGCGGGTTCCTATTATTCCAGGAAGTCTCGCTCCGCCCGGAATTAGCGGGCACTCAGATCTGGATGGAAGTACACAAAGATCCCCGAGGATTCAAGAATAAGACACGACGAATGGATGGAGATATTACTGAATCCTGGAAATTCATGCTTTCACTGCGGACTAGTTAACATGCAACCATGGTCACATTAATAAACCTCCAGAGAGAGCTCAGGTCTGCCCTAGGGGTCCCAAACTACCTACCAGCATACGTGTGTGCCATAATCAAGTCGGGTTATTGAGGTTTCCTTCTCAATTACTGTTCTCTTCCAAGATCAATTTTGAATTGTTGAAACTTAGTTTAATTCAAATTCGGGCACTTCATTTTGTTGTGTTTCAAATTTCATTACAAATTCAATCTTGTGACTGATATTCAAAAAATTAAAATCGTCATGCAAATTTCGAATTTATTCTATTATGAAATTATGAATTGCTATCTCTATCTCTGAGCAGTTTAATGAGTCCTTTTTAAGTTATCTTCCGTAATTCTAGCGTTTATATTTTTTTTTTCCCTTTTCTATTCTTTTATCATCTATTCAACTTTCTTCCGATTCTAATCTATTCAAATCCGAAACAATTAACTAGAACTTATTTTGAAATTCAAATTTTCTATCTCTAATGTTTATATTCTCAGTTCTTTCTCTTCTATGTCTATTTCTATACATATTGAATCTCAAATATTTGTTCTTAATCTAATTCTATTCTAAATATACAGCTAATTAATCTCATTCAAATTCACACTTTATTATTCAGTTATACTTCTAGATCAGTTAGTAAAAATAGGTTATCCATATTGTTCTATTGATTATATACAGTAATTATATAAACGCCAATACAGTTCGCTGTCAGCGATGTACATTCATACAAAAGGGGACAGAAACATGTTCCACTACAGAACAATCACCAAACAATGCATAAACATTCAGGGGAACGAGGGCCAACTGCTTCTTTCGAGCTTACAATCTAGGAGGGAGGGGATGGTGGTACAGTAGGCCCAGCATAAGCTGTGGGGATGGAGAGCGTATAGGAAGAGTGGAGGAGGTCGCGCAGTTAAGGCAG